GCAACAGAGTGAGACTCCCACTCAAAAAAAAAGAAAAAAGAAAAATGAGGATACCACACCACCTGTGAGGGTTGTTGTGCAAGTTAAGATCACAGAAAGAAAATCTAAAACATAGTAGCTGCTCAGTTAGTGTGAATTCTCTTTTCTTCTTCTACCCTAGCCAATAACCTCCCTCCAATTTCTGCTGAAACCTCTTTGTCCAGCCTTTTTTTCCAGCTTATCAACCCTTCCTTGCCCTTCCATCAGATTGGCAATTAACCAATCAGCCTCCACACATAATGGAAATTTGGTCTCATGCTACTAAAGGGGAGGAGACAAGTAAAAGGAACACTAAAGCTTCCTGTTGAGGAGTATGACCCATGATTTTTAACAGTTAACACGGCTATGGTGGCCGTGAGCATGCCACTGCCACTGTATTCCATCTAGCCTGGGCAACAGAGTGAGACTCCCCCTCAAAAAAAAAAAAAATTAACACAGGGGAAATAAGTATTAAGCCTGATGTCAGGTAAACCATCCACACTAATATGGGTTATGTAAACACACATAAATACACACTCAATCTGGCATAGATACCCTTCCTCAGTACTTCCAGGAGCCCGGGCCTCACTGTTGCCACAGCCCCTACTGACAGCTCTATCTTTAACTGAGTATTTGCCCCCCAGTCCTTGTCCATGAGCTCCCTAAGGAGACAGACTGTCTTTCTCATCTCTGCAGCCCCAGCTGCCCCCTCAGTGAGCACCCTGCACTGGCACACTAACTAAAGACTAGAATGCAAGAGAAGAAAAACTGGTATCTTTGGTATGGCTGCAAAAAAGCAAAATTAATGCAGTCATGTGTCGTAACAACTAGTTACCATGCCTAGGTTCCTCTATTGAAAACTCCAGGTCGGGCACAGTGCTCAAGCCTGTAATCCCAGCACTTTGGGAGGCTGCTGAGATGAGAGAATTGCCTTGGCCCGGGGGTCCGCGACCAGCCTGGGCAACTTGGTGAGACCTCATCTCTATAATAAATCAAAAAATTAGCCAGGCATGGTGGCATGCGCCTGTGGTTCTAGCTACTTGGAAGGCAGAGGCAGAAGGATCACCTGAACCCAGTAGGTCATGGCTGCGGTGGCCGTGATCCTGCCACTGTACTCCAACCTGGGCGACAGAGTGAGACTCCGACTCAAGAAAATAATAATAAAATAAAATAAATAAACACATACATACATAAAAAAGACACCTCTTACCCCAGAGACACTCATGCCAAGGCTCCCTGATAAGGAGTTACTAAAAAGGTAAAGAAGTGGAACCAAAACTAGCCACATAAAGCCACACACTAAATGTGTTCAGAGCCAGTGTGGGGGCTGGACATGTGTGGCATTCCTTAAAATGTTAAGAGGGCAAGAGCCATGAACTGGGTTCTAAAGGACAGAGCTGCTCCATTGTGGGACCTTAGGAAGTCTCTGGCCACATCAAGAATGCTTCCATTTAGCATTTGGCGAGCAGGCATCTGAAAGTTGCGCTAAGAGACCCAGTCAGATGCATTATTTTCTTCAGCTCACAGAGAAGCCCGAGCTCCTAAAAAATGTCAGATGAGTAGGGACGCAGACCTGACGTTCTTCCACGCCACCATTCAGCCACTATCGGCTAACACTCCTCTCCCTGCTATTTAGTCAGGCACGAGTCCCATCCCAGAGGTTACCTCAGCCATTCTCACTTCCACCTAGCAGGGAAGATTTATCTTCCCAATCTAGAGCAGGGACGCGGGGCTTAGACAAGGTAAGCACCAACATCTTCCCCCTGTCATTTATCATCTGAGTTTTGCCTCAGGAAAAGGCAACCTCTTCCCTCCAAAATGTCCCAAAAATTGAGCACATGTTTCCAGACTAAATCAAGACAGTTTTACCACAGGGCTATTAGCATCGCTGAGTGGGAAGCACATGGATTTTAAAGGAAGCTGCAACGAAACTGGACTCCCATCTGCACTGCTCCCCACCAGGCAGGCCACCAGCATAGCCCCACAGTCCCTGGAAACACCCTGCTCCCCATCCAAGTCAGCCCTGGCCAAAGACCCTTCAGGAGGTAAAGCCTTTGCCGGTTCAGAACAGATCATGGTTGGGATCCCTAGACAGCTACTCAGGACTGGGTAAAAAAATAACTTCAACTTCCCCTGCACTTAGTTCCTCCCCAGAGAACCTCATCTGGAAACAGCTGGGAGGCAGCAGTTAACAGGAAACCAAAACCAAAAAAAAAAAAAGCACAGAGTGTACTAGGAGAGTTAGGCGGCTAGAACGAGGAGGCCAGGGGGCAGATAGGAAGCCAAAGTTAGAAAGAACCTAGGCCAGAAACAGTCACCCAGAAGAGAAGACCCAGCTGGCCTTCTCCTCAAGTCCAAGCAAGACAGAACCTGGACAGCCTGCGGGGAAGGACAGGCCCCACAGAAAGGGAAGTCAGAGCAGCTCTGAAGGGCAGTCTTCTTTCCACACTGCCCCCTCTTGACCTTACTTCTCTGAGAGCCACGTGGTGGTTCTAACTCCGAGAGCTGGGTCAGAAACTCACTTTCCTCTAGCTTCTGCCTGTGTCAGCGGCTACAGCCCAGACAACTAGTCTTGAGTCATTTCCTTGTCGATCTGCACCAAAGAGCCACACTGCCAATTAAACACAGGGGCCAGCCCAGCCAGCCTCACAAACAAAGGGCATCTTCATGAGATAGCACCAGGCAGAACCCATCAGGAACCTGCAGTAGGAGACCTTAGGTGGTGGGAGACCTCAGGCACAGGGAACAGCAGCAAAATCAAAAGAGCCAAGAGGGCTGGAAGCCCTGAAGAGCAAGGTAAGCATCTTGCTCCAAACTGGTGGTGCATTTTGCAATCAAGAAAGCTAACTGAACAATGGCCAGTTGCCAAAACATTTTTGAAAAAATGCCTTTACTAAAATTCTTATTATTTAATAAGTCTTTAGGTTATCCAAACAGAGTGCAAAGGGGAGTCTGGTTTATTTTTCCTTTAGCAGAGCTTATTTAGGTGAGACCTTTCTAGCCCAGGCCTCCTGTGACTCAATCATTTTGTATATGTGGAAGTTTATATTAAAATAAAGAAGAGGATTAAGTTCTCTTAATGAAACACATTCCTGTCTTTCACCTCTGGTTTTGTTTGAAAGGTTCTCTCCAAGTTGAGCATATGCTGCAAGCTAGCTGGGTTCGATTCCAATGGAAGTGCTCAAAATCTGAGACTGGAGGACGCACAGGGCAGCAACCTCAATACCATTTGTTTTTTTAAAAAACAGAACATCTTTACAGGCTCAGTGCCAACTCAAACTGGCAAGACCAGAGAATCAGGGCAGACTGACCAATGCGCTGAGTAAGGGGGATGGGAGAGCTGCAGGAACAAATCATCAGGGAAATCTTCAAGAGAGGAAATGGGGGGGTGGTTTCAGGAACACAACAAAAAACAGGTTGACTAATCATTTATTCCAGAGGGGGGAAAACCCATACAGGGGCAAGTATCTAGTATTTTAACTTCAGGTAGATGTGTAAATGTTTAAAGTTGGATATATTCAGGGGCCGAGCACAGTGGTTCATGCCTGTAATCCCAGCACTTTGGGAGGCTGAGGTGGCAGATCACTTGAGGTCAGGAGTTCAAGACCAGCCAGAGCAACATAGTAAGTCCTCGTCTCTACAAAAAAATAAAAAAACTCAGCAGGACAGGATGGTGAGTGCCTGTAGTCCCAGCTACTCAGGAGGCAGAAGCAAAAAGACTGCCTGAGCCCTGAAGGTAGAGGCTGCAGTGAGCCATGAGTGTACCACTGTACTCCAGCCTGGGTGACAGAGTGAGACTCCCACTTCAAACAAATAAATAAAGCTGAATGTATTTAGACTCAAGGCTCTCCTTTACACTGTTTCTGGAGTCTCTCGGGAAATTTTTCCTGCGTGGCCTGCAGAGCAGACCCAGGACAGCCCCAACAGATCCAGTCACTAATGCAATAAGCTCAACTTAGCAGAGTCCCTCCGTGAGCTGTGTGCAGGGTTGAGTTGCTCAGGTCACTACAGCTAGTCCAAAAAGTCCTGTTGCTGAGGTAGAAAAGGGACCTGAAACACATAATGCTCACGCTGGGGATGGAGAGAGAGTGGAAAGGTTTAGTTTTAACCCTTGAAGGCCAGGCATTTCTGTGACTAGGAAAAGAGCAATCCCACCCAGAGCCAAATCCATGTGTCAGGATGGGGTCTGGGATGTCTGCCCTGAACACTGACATCGCCCTCGTATAAGGTTTCAAAGACGGCCAGAAAACCCTCCAACTTGCCAGGAGGACAGACTGCACCTCCAACAGCTGTGGCTCCAAAACCTTCCTAGGAGGCACCCAGGGCCCTCCCAAGACGGGGAGGGCCTCTCCATAAACGGGCTGTGCGAGGGCTAGCCTCCAGGTGCAGGAATAATAAGAAAAGTAGCCAAGATCTACACCAGGCACTGGAATAAGCAATTTCCATCTCATTCCATCCCACAAAGAATCCCATGGAGGCAGATACGACTGTCATTCCCTTTTTATAAAGGAGGAAACGGGCTCCGAAGTGTTACACAACCATTAAACTGCGGGGCCAGCGCTCCAGCTACCCTGAACAGGTGGTCCTAACCGCTGCGGGATATTGCTGGAAACACACAAAGCCTTTGGGGAGGAGGTCGATGGAGTCGGGTAACACAAGATGCAGTCAGTGTTTAGATCGCTTTCTTGTCCGTGATGGGTGGCCCCAGGACGCTGGAAGGGAGGGCCTTGGATGAGGAACCTCATCCAAGCCGAAAGAAGCCAAGCACTGCGGGCAGGGGAAGAGGCCAGGACCCCGGCCCCCCTGGCAACGCCGGGGACCCCAGCCTCATAGGCCCTCCCGCAGGGGGAAAGACTCAAAGAGAACGTGTGAAGCCAGAGAGTGTCCAGACGGCCCTGCCCTCCACGCTTGTTTTGTCAAACGGGGACCCCGCAGGAGAAGTGGGGCCCGGCCGGGGCCTCTGGAGGTCGCCGGGTCCCTACCTGTAGGCCAAAGTCATACACTCGAAGAGCTTGGTGAGCGAGGCGTCGATGGACAGGTGGCAGGAGCTGGTCTTGCCGAAGCTGTAGGTCTGGCACGTCTGCTTGTTCACCGTGTCGAAATCGTAGCCCTTCTTGGGCGGGTGCTCGCGGTGCGGCGACGACACCATGAAGTGGCCGCTGTGGATGATCTGCTGGCGGCGCGGTGGCTCCTCGCGGCCCGGCCCGGCCCGGGGCGGCGTCGGAGCGGCGCTCGCGTGGGCCCGGGCCGGGGCGGCCGCGCCAGAGGCGGGTGGCGGGGACGGCTCATCCGTGTCCGAGTCGTCGTCGTCCTCGGGCACCTGGGGCTTGAGCAGCACCGGGCGGCCGCGGCTGCGGGGCCGGCGCGGGGAGCACATGAAGACGTCGGCGGCCATGAGGTGGGCCCGGCCGGGGCATCCCCCGGAGCCCAGGGCGACGCGGGAGAGACGGGCTGAGGGGCGCCGGCCCGGCCCGGCCCGCGCGCGGACTGTCCGCGAGCGCGCCGCGGAGCGGGAGGGGGAGGAGGGCGCGGGCCCCGGCGTGACGTCACCGGAGCGTCTCGGCCAATCGGCTGCTCGCT